GTTCTATAGGACCCGTTCTATAAAGTCTCAGTACAGTTCAAAGTTCAAAGTGGCCAAAATTGCCTAGGTGCCAGGCAGTTTAATCCTATGAACATTATAGCTACGCAAGTGATTGTCTAATGGATATTAGTTGGACATGCATAAAAAGGGTTCAGCGTTTCTATAGTGAGAAGAGAATGCTCTAAATTAAATTGGGAATCCTTTCTGATGCTTCATTGTTCATGCTGCTATACATGAAATTTATATTGATGGCATTTAATTTTCATTATTATTCATAAGACTAGGTCATCTTGCTAGATTTATGTATATACTTCGAGTGACATGAATAGATGGATATACACCATTTTTGCCAAATTTGAAATGAAAATTTCCAATAACCTGGCAACCACTACTGGGTGACTTCCAGATTCAACTCTCTGTAGTTACCATCATAAATAATTAAAATATAAATATATAGATAAAACTAAATTACTAATGAGCACGAATATTTTAAAACGAAAAAGAATGAAATATGTTTATATTAAAAACAAATCTAAGTCTTAAAAAGGTACTGTATTTTAATGTTTAAATATACATTAATTAGCATGATCGTACTGTATGTGTACTGCTTCTATAGCAAAGATCTAGCAGTGCGATCCACTGCGCGGTGCTCTATTTGTAACTAGCTAGCTGCTCAGGCTAGGCCGCTGGAAGTCCACCAGTGAGTTGTGAAACGTTGGAGGCGCTGTTTCAAAGTAATCCCAATAAAATGGTCTATAGTTGATGGATAGCAATAGAAAGATTTTATTTTTCCACTATCTAACAGCAAGTAACTTGGCAATTGCAGTACAGGATTGAATCATGCTTAACAATCAGTCTAAAATAATAATTAATGATTTTTTTAATTAAAGTTACATCAAACATTGAGTAACTCACCAGTTAGGCCTACAGCTTTAAAATGAGGCTAGGAAATGGAATTGCTTACTTTTAGTCAAGAGAAGAAGTTTTATTGCCACAGGGGCTGAACATAGGACCCTGGATTAATAGGCAAGCATTCAGTGGCGTATCATTCAGTCTTGAAATTGGAGGGCACGAAGGTGGAAAATACAGTGATTTTTAACTACTGGAGTGTGATTTATTGCTTCAACCATTTCCAATGGAGTGTGGGAGGGGGAAGATCCCCCTGCCACTGCAAGCATCTAAGCAACAAAGGTATACAACTTCAGATAAAGTGATGAATACAAAGAATTGCTATATTCCTCCATGCGTTGAAATTACTGCAGGAATAGGATACTCCTGAACATCACTAAACTGTTGTTGCTATTAAGGAAACGGATGGTCACATTGACGACGTTAATGCTACTGATTAATCTGTGTGTTTCCTTTCATTTATTATTGAACCATATAAAAAAAATTTCCTTAAATGTTTTAATCTCAGAGATATTTTTCAACTTTATTGTCAAATGGCAAACAAGATCATATTTTGTGAGTTTGTAGAAACACTGTACAGAGATAATAAGGAGGGGGAAAAATGTTTTTTTCAACCAGATTATGGAAATCATAACCTAATCATATTAAAACTGACCTGAAAAACAATATCAACCTTAAATGATGTTATTCTAAACACTATTTAATTACCAAATTAAAAAAAAAATTGATCTTTTATGAAGGCATTGAAATGGGAAAGAAAGTTAACATACTTTTATTGACAACATAATGCAATAAAGTGCACATTTAGAACCTTGCTCGATATCCAATTACTTGGTCTTATGAAGAATGCAGTGTTATAGAAAATAATTTAGTATGCTATATAAATGCTGAAAAGTTACTGTTGAAGAAGAAATACAGATTTCTTATAGCTGATAGCATTGTGTGGTGGCCATGCTTAAAACATGAAAAAAAAATCCATATTTAATATTTAAAAAAAACCAAAACAAATGAATTTAACATTCAGTAAATTCTAGTGTACATTCATAACCGTGTCTCTGAATGGAAATTCATGGTACAATTAAGAAAAAATATTTTGTCAACAATAGCATGTATCCTTATGAATAGTATTGATTTTCTGACAATAAGGTTCTCGATTGTAAAGTATCTAATAACAATATCAACCATCCTGTTGTACATTTGATTACCATTTTATAACTCAATACCGGTAGGTGAACAGTAAACATTGTTAGTTATTATATTAGTGTTATAGTATTTATTAGTTTTGCTTGGTATTAATATATATATGTAAATATTCATCTTTGTGTTAATAATATTTGTTTTTTATAGTGCAGTCACTTTTATTATTCATGTATATGTTAGTTATATGTTACTTAAAGCTTTCTATCAGCTGTGGTAGTTTATTTTTCAAGCAAATGATGCACTCAAATCCTTTAAAGTTGGAAATATTGTCTGTACTATGCAGTTATTCATTATATCAAAGCAGTTGTTCGTATAAGTTACACAGTTTAATTAATTTTTTAATATAAATATAAGTTTTGAATTATTATGAAGATGGAGAAATTTCATCTTGACTTTCAGTTGATAAAGTAATATTACATTTTTATCTTTGTGTTGATATTATTCTTTGTACTTCCAGTGTGAGTGATAAAGAATTATCATATGGTGTGTAGTTGAATAGCTTAATGGTTAAGATGCTTACCTTCCAATGTCAGGGTTCTGGGTTCAATTCCTGTGAACGTTTTCTAATGACTGAAAACAACACTACTTCCTAAGCCCCTTTAAGAGACTTGGTATATAAAGCTTCATTCATCATTCATCTGGTAACTGGCAAGTTACTCGGTGTAAAGGCCAACTTGGACAGCGTCGTACGATATGGCCCAATGTGGTTCATAGTCGGGGACAGTCCAAAGCCGTCATGAGAAAAACCTGTTTAATATTTTATGACACAACTGTGTCCGATGCAAACCATTGCGTCTGCGTTTAGCTCATACCTGACGTGACAACAAATCGCATCGGGTTTCATCTTACGATGCTGAGTTGTCCTTTAGATGTGAATAAAATTAAAACAAAAAATTACCGCATTACCGTAAATGGTTGTATAAGCGCTGTTCTCGAATAAGCGCTGCACCAAACATGATTTTTTTTGCTAAGCGCCGCTCTCGAATAGACAGACACTTATTCGAGTGAATAAGTGTCTGTGTGCAATGAAACGCATTAGCAGTGTAATAAATACAATGTATACAGTGAACACAATGAAGACGCAAGCATGCTGTATTTTTATAAACATTTATTTACGATGATGTAGGCCTACCGAACTACGGGAATACGTGAGATAAGTAACATGGGAACAAGCATGAAAAGTACTACGCCAATATTTTTTTAATAAGCGCCGCTCTCAAATACACGCGGCACTGAAGCCTCCAAGAATTTTATAAGTGCTGCGGTGCTTATTTGAGCATTTGCGGTAGACTGATTGCTACTTTTTTTTCTTTACAGAGAGCAACACTGAAGAAATTAATGTACGTCTAGATACCAAAGTGTAACAAGAACAACAGTCTTTATCCCAACATCGGCATCATAAAACACCAGTATATCCACGACTAGTTATGACAAGAACTTGGTCATAGTCAGTTCATACCTATAGTGTTTGTTTGTGTGTGTACATTCCTTTGTGTGTGTTTCTATTTGTATGGAGGTGTTATAACTCTCTACCATAAAAAATAAAAGATGGCAAGACGACTGATGTATGTTAAGGTGGTCCTTGCCACTTCAATGGTCTGGTTTATGCTGGATATAATGCTGATTATGTACTATAGTGAATGTAACAGCCAGAATAATTGTAACCAAGGAAATGCACATGGACAGCCAGTCCTCAGAGAAGAGGGTATGTACTACATTATACTGCTATTATTTTATTTATTATTATTTGGGTTTTTTTTTTTTTACTTTCATAACAATAACAGGATTTAATTTATTAATATTATGATTTTCTTACTGCTTGTTTATAAGATTATTTTAGCAATTTGTAGTTGCAAAAGCCCTTATTACAGGATATATTGGAGCAAAGGCAGGCACTTTAAGGCCTTGAACAGCGCCCTCAAGTTTTAGGGTCATGGTTCGGTTTATGAAGCATTTGTTATACTCATTCATACAACTTTCTACTTTCCAAAGGGTCCCGTCGTGTCAGTTCCCTGCCAATTGACGTAGATATCTATTCCACTGCAGGGGCTGGACCAGTACACCGAGGTAATTCTCCTGCTCTTCTCGACGGTTGTTGGGTTCATTAAAATATACTCTAGGCCTATTTTCATAGTATATGTTAACCACAAAGGTAGAGCTCAAGGCTTTAATAGACTTTAATTAAACAGGAGCCTAGAGATTGGGGGAAGTACTTTAAAGCCATGCTCCAGGGGAAAAAAAATTGTACAACTATAAATTAAGACAAAAAAATGCATATTTGACATAAAAACATGGAGCGGTTAATGAGATACAGATTTTGAATATTTGAAAACTATGGGAAAAGGGGGCCTAACCATTTTTTTTTCCTCCACCTTTTTCCCCTAGTTTTTAAATATATATACCGCTCCCAAGTTTTTAAATTAATTATGCCTTTTGTGTCTTAGAAAAATCAGTTGTACAACATATCAGAAAATCAGAAGCCTGGCTAGAGATCGTATCTTAATGAAAAGGGCTTATAATACCCAGAGATTAGAGGATAAATATATCTAACCACAAAGTTTATATCTAAGTAAAAAGTACGCAGTATTTAACCTTGCTTAAAATGCTTCATAATTTTTATTTGCCGATAAGGTCACAATGAAGAGTCGGTAAAGGTTAATGAGCGGCGGGCTTTTCATCCAGAACCTCGTCATAATCCTGATGGCCCGGGAGAAAATGGGAAGGCTGTTGTGATCCCACCGGAAAAGGAAGAACTCCAAAAAGAGATGTTTAAGATCAACCAGTTTAATCTGATGGCGAGTGACATGATATCGTTAAACAGATCTCTTCCTGACGTGCGTATGGAAGGGTAAGGAAATGCCAGAATTTTTGTTTTTGGGAAATTCTTGTATTATTCTCTTTTTTCCAGAATGTTCACCAATAGAAGCAAGCACTTTGGTATTTCAACTTTTAGAAGATATTCGTAATATGAAGTATTAAAAAGCTTCTACTGAAACAAAAGTTTTTCACAGTGATATAGAAATAATCATATCAACTAGAAATTGCAAGTGAAGTGCTGCGAAGTACAACTGCATATAAATGTTCTTCGAACAAAATTATTTATGCGAGTCAAGTGAATATAATGAATAATAAAAATATAACAAATAATATGAGACACGACCCATTGTCTATATTAGAACACTTTTCATTGGGTAACAAAGTCGTAATTTTTCATTTTTGTCGAAAATTGTCTATAGTGGTGAATTATGGTTTAGGTTTTTTTTAATAAAGTCTAAAAAATTTCTATGTATGTGGAAAATGTAGTTGATTACCAAAGGTTACAATTTCTATTTTGAAGACTGCATGGTCTAGGAAGTGTACATTTTTTTATGGGGCAAGTTTCAAAGGGCGGGTTTTCTAGGGGCGAGTTGACGGCCAAAGAGTGTTGCCGAAGTGCGAGCCAGTGTGATATTTGATCACAAGTGTGAGCCAGCTAGCCATGACGTAACGACAATAGATACAAGACGTTAACGAGTTGTGCGAGGTATTGGCTGAGATTTGTGGAGTACAATTCAAAAGACAACTATAGGTCTAATAATGAATTATTGTGATGTTAAATAGACAATGTTAGCTATCAAGGAGCGACGTTGTTTTTCATTGGGACCTTCGTCCCTTCAAGGCTAGGCCTATACCATCCTAGCTAGTCTAGGCCTAGAGTAGGATAAGGTTAGCGCGACATGCGGACCCTTATTAATCAACTTATCCTTAAAATCCACTCTTATTATTTAGAGTTTATTAATGTTATCACCTACCCACCCTCAAGTGTCTATCATCCACCCTTAGTTTTCTAAGAATACTTTTACGGGAATTTGGAAAAATTAAATTTTTCCTGTTGAGGCGCCTGACAGAGTTTTTAAATGTCTCGTGCCTGCTGATTTGTCTAACTTGGAATTTCTGTTGTGTGCATCAGTAAATGGCAAATCATGTTAAGGTTGTCAACAGGGAAATAAAATAATTCCTAGAATGTCATTCTCTTTGAGAGAGAATTGAGAAACATTTCTTGACAGAGCAGGAAATATCCCTGTATGGCAGATTGCAACAAAGAGGGCAGCAGACACACAAACCATATTGTCAGCTCTTTAGTATTTAGGAGAGTTTTAAATTTTACAATGATGCTTGTGATGACTGTGGTGATGATGAGGACATAAAAATTGTTGTGTTCCCCAAGCACACTGTCAATCAATCAGACTTTTTTACTCAATATCTAGGCCTAATTCTAGAATTCATGGCCATCATTTAACCCATACATTTTGGTTGGTAAAATGGTAGTCACAGGGCTAAAATTGAAAAACTCTTTTTACGATTTTGAATCATTTGGGCTTGGACAGCACAAAGTAGTTTTCTTTTATTTTAGCCCGATGGTCAAGTAATAACCAATTTGGCTATAAAATACTATAAATAGGATTAAATACTATAATTTAATAATTATAACGTTTGTTTTGTAACTTTTATTTTTGGCAATAGTGTTTTTATATTTTATATATTTTCTCATCATATGTCTTTAAAAAATGTGAATTTAATGTGTTTTATGGACTTGTAAACATGTGTCGAATAAAAGAAATCTTCAATATTAACAATTTTAATTAAATCTACCTTGTTGCAGGTGCAAGAATAAAGTTTATCCTCATGTTGAGAAACTTCCAGACACAAGTGTTGTTATCGTTTTTCACAATGAAGCATGGAGCACTCTACTACGAACTGTCCACAGTATAATAAACAGATCGCCACGACGGCTCATCAAACAAATTGTGTTAGTTGACGATGCAAGTGAAAGAGGTTAGAATTTTTTTTTTTTAAATTGATAAATAGATATAAGCTGTCTAGCTAACATTTTGCTACTGAACCAATAAGCCAATTTGTATTTAGAACTGGGCATGCTCATATAATGGTCAATCAAATAAACACCATACACACAACATAGGTTTATGTCGATTGACGTTAATTGACCTTGGATACGAGTATGTGCAGTTCTGACTACGAATTCTCGTATTAATTCAAATAACACTCAACAGTAGAAGTGGTTGGTGCAGCAGTTGTGGCTAGGACCCTCAACCTTGTTTATCTCTACCGTGGAGAATAAATAGGTACCTAGTAGGACATTGTGGCCTTGGTTTGGTGGGTACATGTGCACGGTTTGGTATGCTGCCCAGCGCGAGTAACAACAGTAGAAATGATTGATGCAGCGGTTGTGGTGAGGACTCTAAAACTTGTTTGTCGCTACCATGTAGTATAAGTGGGTATCTGGTAGGACATTTTGGGATTGATAGCTGGGTACATATTTGGTGTATCAGGGAGCAATTAAGGAGGTTGCACTTTGTACTGGTTTGACATTGTATGTTATCCAGTGACAAAGGGGTAATAATGCTCAAGCGCCATTGATTTGGAATTGTATTGTAAGCATTATTATTATTGACTTGCAACTTGTAAAAATTAATTTTCCATGAAAATTACAAAATATCAAAAAGTTCATTAAAAATAATCAACACACAAAAACTATTTCAGTGCTACAGTGGAGGAGAAAACCTGTTGACCAATACTTAAATGGTTATCAGCCAGCTAAAAAAATAATATAATACAAAAAAAAACAAAACATGACAACAGACCAAGTTGCTAAACCATTCAGATTGGTAGTTAAATGGCAAGACATAATGTATTTAATTGGTTAATGACTAAGCATTTTCCAGTATTGCAACATTACTTTATTCTGCTTCAATTTGTCTCTGAAACTGTTAGCACCCCCTCTAGAGGCCAAGGATATCATTAAAATTTATAATGGTTTAGGCTTGTAAAAACAAGGAAGGGTATCTGTGATTCAGCCAAATCCCATCCACCCCCTCTTTTTATAGAACTATCTTTTCTGATAAAGCAAACCACCCAGTTTGGTTCAGATTTTCTCAAATTTCTCAACTGTTCTCAGCCAAGCCTGGCATGGTTCTAGTCTGACTGTCCCCAGTTAAAAGTTGTAAACGTCATTGTCATGTTGTTATTGCTCCGCATTAAAGTTGATGAACTCTCTTGATGTAACAAGTGAAACCAGCACTAAAAAATTCAAATCTTATGTTAAGTAACTCTTGGTCAGAGATGGATGTGGCTTTTTTATATTTAGTTATATGTACTTTAGAATGTTAACAGTTTTGAGATCGGCTTTTCTGAAATTGTTATTTAAAAATTAATGCACATTAATTGATATTCGTTGGAATTGTGAGATTTTGTGTTTGTGTTATTGATGTTGCTTGATCTGGTGCTTTGTTTGTACTTTTGATGTTTATATTAGAGATTTTATTTTCTTTATATTTTGTTGCTGGGATCTGTGGTGGACCAGGGATTATTATCCCTGAACGATCCCGCAGAATAAAGAACAAAGAAACACATTATAATTTTTATTTAAAAAAATGTGTGTTTCATATTGTATTTAAGTCTGTGAATATCAGTGAAGTTTCTCTCCCATTATTATTATTATTATTTTCATCATCATCATTATTAACGTTGATATTGTAATGTTATTAATATTACCATTATTATCATTATCATCAAAACTAAACAGAAATATTTTGAAGTCATATGCATGAACACATTATGAATGCAGATTGACACAAGGAAGCTATTTTAAATGTTGAAGTAAGTGGTAAGATGGTACTTTTGTAAGTGCATATTATAATACACCCAGTGTCATAATATCCTTATATGTAACTTAAGGAAAGATGTTATAAAATCACTCACCCCATTGTTCATTTTTTGGTTCACCACTGGCAGTATATATCATCCAAATTCACTATGTAAACATATCAATTTGTTACTTTTATTATTTTTAACTGTTATTAAAAAGATAAGAAAACAAACATTATGCAGTAAATATACATTATAGTGATTCAAATGAGAATAAATTGTTAAATTTGTTTAGGGAATGTTTAGTACACATCTTCTGCTAAATTGCTTCTGTGTTATTGGGCATCCATGTCTGATTTTCAAGCAGCGGCCTGTGGTACGAACATTGCACAGACCAATAACACACTGAGGAGGTCAAAATTAATAATGCAAAAATGTGCAGGGGTTCAGGCTTATAAGAACAAGTAAATTTCTAGGGTTCTGTCATTGTTATCATCCAAGCTAAAAATTAAATATTTTTATTATATATATGTACATACAATCATATGCATAGATACAGTATGATGGCAGATTGAAACAAGGAAACTATTTTAAATGTTAAATTAACTAGTAAGATGATGTATATCATAAGGCATCCTGTGTCATATTACACTTATAAACTTAAGGAAGAATGTTATAAAAGGGAAACACTCATCCCATTGTTCAAGTTTTTTTGTTCGTTGCTGACAGTATATATCATTCAAAAAATTCACTATATAAACATATCAATTTGTTAATTTTATTATTATTTTTAACTGTTATTAAAGTTATTATAGGAGATAAGAATACAAACGTTATACAGTAAATATACATTATAGCAATTTAAATCATTAATAGAAATAATTCTCAGTGCCAGTAGCAAACTTATTTTAACAGCACTATATAAATGTGACAAATGGAAGTTTAACTATTTAGGCCTACATGTTAGTTAAACACATTACTTACATCTATATTCCAAATTATATTCATAGTTTATTACAAATTTGAAATATTAATGAATTATATCTGGAACATTTGTAATAAAATAACAAAAGTTTTATCATATTTACAATGATTAATAGAAATATTCCTCACTGCCAGTAGCAAGCTTATTTTAACAGCCAGTAAATTAATTTTTATATTTAGTTATATGTACTTTAGAATGTTAAAAGTTTTGAGGTTGGCTTTTCTGAATTTGTTATTTTTAAAAAATGCTTGCACATTAATTGATATTCATTGGAATTGCGAGATTTTGTGTTGGTGTGAGTGATGTTGCTTGATCTGGTGCTTTGTATTTTTTATGTTTATTTAAGATTTTTTTTTCTTTATATTTTGTTGCTGGGATCTGTGGTGGACCAGGGATTATTATCCCTGAGTGATCCCACAGAATAAAGAACAAAGAAACGCACATTATTATAATTTTTATTTACAAAAATTTGTGTTTCCCAACATATTTATTCAAGTCTGTGAACATTAGTGAAGTTATTCTCTCATTATTATTATTATTATTATTGTCATCATCATTATTATTAATGTTGATATTGTAATGTTATTAATATTACCATTATTGTTATCATCAAAACTAAAACTCGAAATATTTTATGTACATAAAGTCATATAAATGCAGATTGAGTCAAGGAAGCTATTGTAAATGTTTAAGTAAAGTGGTAAGATGGTACTTTATAGGTGCATATCATAATAATATCCTTTATGTAACTTATAGGAAGGATGTTATAAAATCACTCAACCCATTGCTCAAGTTTTTTTGTTCATCACTGGCAGTATATATCATATATAATTAACTATTATTAAAATTATTAAAAATGATCAGAAAACAAACATTAAGCAGTAAATATACATTATAGCGATTCAAATGAGAATAAATTGTTTAATTTGGTAAGGGAAAGTTTAGCACACATCTTCTGCTAAATTGCTTCTGTGTGATTGCGCATCTATGTGTGATTTGCAAGCAGTGGCTGTGGTACGAACATTGCTCAGATCGATAACACACTGAGATATTTAGCATGGTCTGTGCTCATGGTAACAGAGCACAACTTACTGTATCTCCTATTTCAGTATTGTGCATTATCTTCACTTTCTGAATATCATCGTACTGTTTTTAACAAAGATATTCATTCATGTTCAAATGGTGTCTCTAGTAGTAGTAGGATTACCTCGACAACCTCGGCAGGATTAGCTCAGTAAGTCTGTAACATTATCATGCGTCTCATGTATCAATTTCCTTTCTCATGAGAATCAATTCTTAGAGCTCAATTATTTTCACAATTTATTACAATATTGAATTATTAATATATTTCAAGTATAATCAAGATTTTTATAATGTTTACAATCATTAATAGAACTAACTCTCAGTACCAGTTTAGCAAACTTATTTTAACAGCCACTATATAAATGTGGCAAATAGAAACAAAGCTTTATAACTATTTACCTTTTAGTTAAACACATCACTTAATCCTATATTCCAAATTGTTGTTATAGTTTAGTAAAAGGTTGAATTATTAAAGAATTGCATCTAGAACATTTATAATAAGATAATAAGAGATCATGTTTACAATCATTAATAGCAATATTCATCAGTGCCAGTAGCAAGACTATTTTAACATGCACTAAATTAATGCAGGAATATTTTATTTCAATTTTATTCAAAAAACCTCTGAAATGAGATAAAATACATAAACAATACATTCCTTTGTATGAACACGTCAAATGTAAATATATCGCAAAACACCAACGGAAGAGGAATATCTTGGGATGTCACTTGCTCTTGTCACTTTTGATGTAATATCAAGTGTAAATTAAGTACTAGTGACCTCTGTCTATTCTTAATAAAAACCTACTAATGTACTTTAGTGATATTGAATATACATAATATTTTCTTTATTTATTTAATCTGCTTGCTAACTTATTTAACATTTATATAATGTTGCTCCTGCATTAAGGTTTCTTCACTTTGAATTTGGTTCAAATTCAATTGTTGGTACATCGAGTTGGTCAAGACATTGGGACTGCTGTCTGTTGAATTATGTCTGCCCTTTCGTTTTCTTGCATGTGTGTTATCAGGAACCTGATATTCTTCAGATAAGTTCTCGGCCATGGTTTTTGAATTAATTTGTCGTTTATAGAAGATAATAAATCCAATAATGATGAGTAATATAAGAAACAACATACTGACAATTGTTACAATGATTGGAGTAATACATGAATTATATCTTAAATTTGGTAGCTTATCTATTATAGTGTGTGTCATTGCTGTTGGATGCTGACTCTCTGTCGTCATAGTGTTGACTACCTGGAGCACATCTGTCGTCATAGTGTTGACTACCTGGAGCACAAGCTCATCAACTCCTATCTCAATTCCAAAACTTGCGGTGCATCTTAATGGTTGGCCATCATCAATTAAAGGGACACTTGTAAAGCAAATTCTGTTATAATTCGATGTTGGTGACTGAATTGCTGACCCATTGAATGCCCATGTGTATAGACGCAAACCAACACAATCAACACAAAATATTGTGCATTCAAAACATGCTTGGTTGCCTGCAGTCAAAGGCAGTAAACTGAGTGCATGAACTTTAACTTCATTCTCAACAATGTTCAGTGGATTTGTTGAACAGGTTTCTGTCAATTTTCTGTCATTTGGTTCTTCTGCCACACACTTAAAGATGGTTCCATTTACATAGTTTGTGACAGCTACAGTATTATTTAAATATGATTTTACTGTTGTTTGACTGAGTACTCTAGTGTTAATGTAATCGGTATTATCACCTGCATACCAAGTAAGCCTTGTGACGTAATTCCCTGGTCCTATCATACAAGATAGTGTTATAACATCTGTGGTTGTGACACTTCTAGGCAAGGGCATGCACTGTGGTTCAGGAACTTGTTTCACAATAAGCCAGGCTGAAGCTTGATTCTTTGTTTCTTGAATTATCACACATATAATGTGTCCAGCATCAGCATGTTTCACTTCAGTAATTTTTAAAGTACTGTAGACATATTTTCCCTCAGGTTTTAAGTCCTGTGTTCTATTAATCGAGTATCTTCTATTTCTAATGAGGATACCATTTCCATTTGCAATACTAATACCACCTGACCACCATCCAACATCATATGCCAGCTCACCGTCTGTTATATCACGACTCAATCTGACAATGCATTTAAAAGTTGCTTCCATACCAGCAGAAATGATCACATTCTGAGGCCTTAGTGTTATTTGTGCACAAATTACAAGTTGAATGTTGCTCAACATATAACAACAAATAAACATAAGAAACATCCTCAATCGGTTGTGTCCACACATTGTATCATTGATCTATTGTCAAAAGCAACAGGTGAGTGTTTTCTATTCACATTCCAGTCACATCTGATATATAACATAAACTTTATATTCCTTGGTCATCCACTTTTAAACATTTAACATCACAACTCCTGTGATAATAGATTTACATTGCTCATGGAAAAAGATTCCTTCAGAATGTCACCAAAATAATGATCCACATTCAATGCACAGATGGTATGTATGATTCTACTAGTATTGAATGTATTATTGTATAAATTTTGAGTGGGTACAGTAGATATCAGAGGATACTGTAATGTCAATTGCTTCCTTGTATCATAATCTTGTCTTTCCAACCTATAGTTAAACAACAATCATGTGTACGGTTATATATGGTAGTACTGTAGCTTTCTCATGTCTAGTTAGTTGCATGCATGAGCTTGTGTTGATAGAGTGATTATGAATATCAGGGGCAGATTGACTGAGTACAGTACTTGAGTGTTCATGTATTCAGTATCTGCATACCATGTAAGCCTTGTGTCATAATTCCCTGGTCCTATCATACAACAAGATAGTGTAATACCATGGAGGTATTATTGAGAAGGAGATCACTCGAAAAAGCTAAGCGCACGCAGCGCTATGCAAATCAGCCAAGATTAAAGCTGCCGCAGTGCGTGAAGAACGTTTGCGCGATGCCTTTGAAGTCCGATGTGTTCCCCGCCATCAAATTTTCAGCAGGCATAGTTTACCAAAAAATTGGCAAAATGGAGAGCACCTTCTTTTCTCGATGCGCACTACATACAGTCAATCACTATGGCTGTGCAATCGTTTCTATTTTAAAGCTGATACATTTATCTCTTATAAAATATCAAACATATTAATATTTTCCACCACAAAAAGTTTCGAATTTAATGGAACATATACATGACCTTTAAAAGTATTGTATATTTCAACTTCAATTTTCATAAATTGGCCAAAATTCGCTAATTCTAATTTTAACAGATATTAATTATTAAATGATTGAGGATTATAATAAACTAAGTCATTTTAGGGTTAACGAGGGTTAACTTTTTGAAAAATCAATCCAAAATCTGAGTATTTTTCAGTTTTACGCTGACTTAGCTTTATAGTTGAACCGATCAATCTTTAGACAGAATTATAATGAGCACAGAAGTAATTTTAACAAAAATATTTTACGGAATCCGTTCCTGAAATATACAAATAATAACATACTAAAAGTCCAAAAAAATCTAATCAGGGGAACATTGTTCATTATAAAGATATTTAATGGGTTAAAATCAAACACTTTATTGCACAACTGCTCTGCTGGAAGCGTATAATGCATGTCGTTGCCAAGTTGTTGCTAACAAAAAAATATGAATTATAGGGTAATACGCCCGCGCACGATCCAAAGGTGGGGAACACATAGGTTTGTCGCGTCAAAGGGATCTGTTGCCGAGTGATCTCCTTCTCAATAATACCTCCATGGTAATACTGTCTGTGATTGTTTGAATGTTGTAGCATGTATAGCATTTTACATCAGTACGTTTAACTTCAGTACTGTACTGTAAGTACTGTAGACGTACTTACCATCAGATTTTAATTCACTCGTTCTATCAGTTGAGTATCTATTATTATTAATAAGTATATCATTCTGTTTTGCAATGTTAATACCATTTGTCCACCATGCAACATCATACTGTATGTCAGCTCTTCTGTTACATCACGTTTCATTTTGAAATTGCATTGGAAAGTTGCTTCCATATCAGCAGAAATGGTCACATTCTGAGGCTTTAGTGTTATTTGTGCACAAATTACAACTTGAATGTTTGCCAACATATAGCAACAAATCAAAGTTATAAGTAACATCTTGAATTTGTAGTGCTTACACATTTTCATAATCAAATAAAAAAAGCAATAATATCTAACCTTTTTCGGACATGTCCAGTTCAACCATTCAGTATTTTTATGATAGTTTACTTTAAAAGTAAATTTGTTCCTTAGTCATGTTAGTTCATCTGTACTAAACCAATAAAAGGTGTATGTACATAACTTGCAACATCTCATGTGGTATCAGCAACACTTTATCAGGAAATGTGCTGTTAATACTGTCAGTTTCAGTGGCAAGGTGAGTGCGACCTCTAAAGTTGGATTTCAGTCTCAGTATAATAACTTTAGACTAGGGGAAATTTGTAGTTTAATTCCGACTGTAATAAAGTACCTAACAATACGATTTGTTTTGGGCCAAATAAACGGGGCGCATATCTGTAGGTGACTCAAAAACGATGAAAATTAGCTGTTTTTTACAAGATTCTTGGCTGTAAAAATTCTCACAGTTATCCAATAAAGTATATAACCTACCAATGTTGGAAATGGTATTACCTACATGATTATGCTAATCTTGAGTACAGTAAAATTGTTCTGATCAATTAGCACAGGTCAAAATAGACAAGTGGTTTTACCATATTTTAAATGAAGCCTGATTTTGGCATTTCCAAACTGAATCTACAAGATTAATTTAAGCCCAATTCTTTCGTACCTTGGGGGTAATGTTACTCCATGGGTATGTGGCTCACATTTACAAAAAGATTTTTATCATTGTGGATTAGTTCAAAATACATGCATACATAGATAATAGGCCTAAAGTGAATGAATTTCACTGTGGTTCAAAACAAATCATATTGAATACATTTCATTTTTAGTACATATCTTTACATCTTGAATTTCACCAAGCCAGTAAACATGTTTAAATGAAGCAATGTGCTACACATAGACACTGGATTGTAAACTGTTTCTGAACAGGGCAGTAGACACTTTCCTATCGATTTTCAATCCAGAAGCGTAAAGTTGACCTCGTAAGGTAAATTTGACCGCGTAAGCACGAAGTAAGGTGTTTTCAATCTGGAAGCGTAAAGTTGACCTTATGATGTAAATTTGACTGCGTAAGCGTGAAGTAAGGTGACATTTCGTAATTGATGGTGTGACCTACCACTGTATTTAATAGAGAAAATGTATACAGTACTTGTTATTTCTACCCTAACTTTGTTGTGTGGGAGTTGGTGCTAGTCTGTCATCAATTAGCTGCACAGTTTGGAAAGTGAAAATGAGTACAAATGATTAAAGGGCCCATATTGGAACCAGATCGTATTTTACTTGTTGTTTCTATCTTAACTCGGTCATTGTGTAGGAATTGATGCATTGCTAGCCTGCATTGAATCAGCTGCACGATTTGGAAGGTTAGATATGGCTGTTTCATGTCAACAAAACGAGAATGTAGTATAGATGGTTAAACGGACTCAACGTTGAACTTTGATTTTTTTAAACAGTTTCGCGCCTTACTTATGCAAAACGCTAGACCTAGCCCCATGCGCTTTAGGTGGCATAACGCACCGATATTCTACACAGGTAGGCTGGATACAGTAGGTTGTGCTGGATACAGTAGGTTGTGCTGGATACAGTAGGTTGTGCTGGATATGCAAAAAAAAAAAAAAACGCCAATGTAAAGAATGAAACAAGGCATAATGCTGGCAGTCTTAAGCCTAAGCATATTAATTACAGTAGTAGTAGGCCTTACAGATTGACAGTCAAAAAACCTTGTACATTGTATAGGTACTATTTTTGGCCTTTTTTCATAGTCCAATGTAGAAATGATCCAATTTTGGTGATGATCCGGAGTAGGGTGTGGATATGAGGACCATTTAAAGATTTTTTTTGGGCAGTTAATATATGCAATTCACATTTTCTAAGGTGTTCAAACCAGCTGCAGGTAGGCTAAATGCAAACTTACCATGATATGCATGAACAATTTTTGCTTTCAATCACTGAATCGCTATGAACTAAAAATACACTGACCTATGCTTGGTCGGCTCATATAGCATGCAATGGTTGAGTCTCCATTTCACCGTCGCTATTACCCTTGCAGCTATAGTTTGAGTCTAACGTTGAGTTAGTTTCCGTTTTTTTTTTTTACTTGATTTTTTTTTACAAATAGCCCTTGATTTTTTTTTCTAATTTATCTTTCTTCTTCAATCAAGTTTACCTATTTTTTTCTTCTGGCCGGCACTTTGGTCAATTTCCGTGCAAAGGTCACATCAGTGATGTGCATATAAAATTATGACAACATTCTACATATTTTGAATATTGAAACCAGTCATACTGTAGTTCGAGGTTATGATAATGTACATAAAGTCATGCATGAATACAGATGATGCAGGTTGAAACAAGGAAGCTATTTTAAATATTGAAGTAACTAGTAAGATGGTACTTCATAATTGCATATCATAACGCACCCAGTGTCATAATATCCTTATAAATTCAAGGATGTATGTTATAAAAACACTCAACCCATTGTCCATTTTTTTTTTATCATCACTGACCATATGTATCATTCAAATTTACTAACGTATATTCTCACATATAAGGCAAGTCTTAAAATAACAAATTACGATTGAAAAACAGGGGTCGTTTTATACACGTAACACATACAAATTGTTCATGTTTAAATCATGTTAGGGGCAGATTGTCTGTAACACACAAATTGCTGGTATGAATGAATGCAATTAATGGAGGGAAATAATATTTTGATGAACATTTAAAAACCCATAAATATGGTATTATTTAATAGAAAATTGGTCCTTTATTTAATTCTGTTTTAAGCCAGCTAGTTGCAGTATCAAGACCATAAAAAGCAGCAAGGAGTAGGAAATCGTCCAAGAATCTTTTCAAACTTTGTATGTCATTTTATACGCAGAATGCCCTTTACCGGAGTATATACGGTATATAAACATAACAATTTGTTATTTTATTATTCTTAACTATTATTTCAATTATTAAAGAAGATAAAAAAACAAACATTATAAATGTGTATAAAGACATTTTTTTATTCCGAAATAAAAAGAAGTGTTAAAAAATTATCATATACAAAAAATAAAATAAAATAAAATAAAACTAAACCAAAAAAAGGCAATTCAGTAGCCGCATGTACCTTTTAGGCACCTATTTTTTGAAAAATAATATAATTAATCAATAAATTGCTACCACTGTTGAATTTTTTAATCTGCTTTAACATTTATATAACGATGGTCCTGCATTGAGGTTTCTTCTCTTTGAATTTGGTTCCAATTCATTTGGCCATAAACTGAGTTGAACAATACATTGGGACTACTGTCTGTTGAAATACATCTGTCTCTGCATATTTCTTCACATCTATTATTATGGACTTGAACATCATCATATTCTTCAGATAAGTTTGGGGCCATTGTCCTTAAACTTATTGGTCGTTTATAGACGATAATAAATCCAATAGTGGTAAGAAATATAATAAACGACATACTAGCAATTGCTGTAATGATTGGAATAATACATGAATGGTATCTTAAATTTGGTAGCTTATTAATTGTAGTGTTTGGTTCACTCTCAACAATGTTCAGAGGATTAGTAAAACAGGTTTCTGTTCTTTTTACATTACTTGGATCTGCAGCCACACACCTAAAGATGGTTCCATTTACATAGTCTTTAACATCTATGGTACAATTTAGAAACGAGTTATCCATTCTTTGTTGAAATACTCCACTGTTCATGTGCTCATCAGTACTATCACCTGCATACCATGTAAGGTTTGTGTCATAATTGCTTGGTCCTATCATACAAGATAGTGTAATAACGTCTGTGATTGTGACACTTCTAGACAAGGGCATGCACTGTGGTTCAGGAACTTGTTTTACATCCAACCAGGCTAAACCTTGAATGGATGATTTCTCAATGATGTAGCATGCAAAGTGTCCAGCATCAGCATGTTTCACCTCAGTAATCTTTAAAGTACTGTAGACATACTTACCATCACGTTTTAATTCAAATGTTCTCTCAACTGAGTATCTATTATTTTGAATGAGGATATTGTTCCCTGCTGCAATGTTAATATTACCGGTATTTGTCCACCATGCAACATCATATCCCAGCTCTTCTGTTACATCACGATTCAATTTGACAATGCATTGGAAAGTTGCTTTCATACCAGCAGAAATTGTCACATCTTTGGGATGTTGAATTATATGTGCACAAATTACAACTTTAATGTCACTCAGCATATAAACACAAATTAAAGTTATAAAAAACGTCTTCAATTGGTAGTGTTCACACATATTCATCAATTAATTAAAAATCAGTATAATTATGTTTTTTTGATTTCCACTTGGATCTGTCTAGCAGCAAGTTGACAACTTTACCTTAAAAGTAAATTTGTTCTATAGTTGTTCTTATTTCGTTTGTACAAACTAACAAAATGTTTATGTACTTGTAAGAGAAGGAACTTGTAATGTCATTTGCTTCCTATGGTCATGATTTATAGTCTGACCAAAAGCAAAAAATTAGTTTTCATGGTTGTTACCTGAGCTTCTTTTGCAGTTATGAATATGCATTAATTTGTGGTGATCAGGATAGTTCATGAATAAGCATATTTTGAGGAACACACACATGCAGTCTTTAGTAACTAGCACGTGGTTATGTGTTCAAATTACAGTATTTTTGGAGTCACCAATTTAGTAACTAGCCCGTATTACTGTTTTACTACTTCAGAATCTTGTAAGAGATACATGACAACGCACTGTAATATAATATTAATATTAATATTAATGATATATATTTAAAGAAAATTAAATACACTTACTTTGTGATCAAGAAAGGTTGTAAATAGCATTCTGATGGATATTTCAGTAATATTATCTAGGGAGGATTAGCTTGGGAATTCTTTGTAAATTCTCTTGTAAATCAAGTCTTAAAGTTTCTAAATTATTTTCATAATTTAGTACAAGATTAAATTATTAATAAATTTGCAATAAGATAACAAGAGTTTAATCATGTTTACAATCAATTATAGGAAAAAATCCTCAGTACCAGAAGAAAACTTTAACAGCCACTATAAAAAAAAAAATTAAAGCTTCATGACTATTTACAATTTAGTTAAACACAATACTTGAATCCTATATTCAAAATTATTTTTACAATTTAGGACAAAATTGAATTGTTAATGAATTGTATCTCAAGCATTTGTAATAAGATAAGATATTCATTATATTTACAATAATTAATAGAAACATTCATCAGTGCCAATAGTATTTTAACAGTCAGTTAATGCAGGGATATATTATGTCAATTTATTTCAATTTTCAAGTTTATTCAAAAGTCCCGAAATGAAGAATATATAAAAAAAAAAGCATTCAACTAGGTGTCAACACATCATATACATCAAGTATATCACAAATTAAGTCACTTGGCTGTAATAAAATAATGAGATGAGTACGATTATGGAAACATGTGTTCCTCAACCCCTGCAGATGCTCATTCCTCAGCTGAACTTGCTCAAAATAAAACTCACTAAAATAATACCAGTGCATGGCCCTGGTAATTTAAGAGGGGACCAAACATAGGAGATGCTAACATGTGCTGAGTTTAAATCTAGAAGAGTCAGGTTGCCAATTCATATTCTGACGATGTGTATTTTCTAAAAACCAAAGGATCCACTGATTATCCG